TACCAACATCTGGTGAAAATTTCATGTCATTAGCACCTCTAGTAATATATTTACTGAGAAAAATGTTGATGTGTTCAATACTTATTTTACCCTCTGTATATTACCCCTTTACATTTTTAAATAATTGTATTTCTCATAAAATAAGCTTAAATAATTACTGCAGAACATAACAATTTTTTTATATCCGATTACTCGATTAATCGTCAGAATAATTGATAGATTAATCGATCACTAAAATAATCGTTAGCTGCAGCCCTAGGTGGTCTCTTGAACTGAACAGAACATAAAAACTTTTTAGACTTTTAATCTTTTAGTTTGATTTTTAAAAATAATTTCTAAATGAGAGAAATAAACACTGACAGATGAGCTGAGTCAGTTTGATCACAGAAATATGAACGACTGACATAAAACGAGTCGAATCCTTGAGCAATGATGTCATTTAGGACATGATGTCGATTTTCCTGCTCTGTTCATGTTTTCAGTTTGTAAGAAGGAAACAATAAAAAAAATCTTATTTTCCTGAGAAGTAAATGAGTTATAAAACTGTAGTCTGTAGTTTGATGCTGAAGACTTGTTTGTGTTTGTGCTTCAGATGGAGGAGAGCTCCTGAAACCAGGAGAAGAGGAAGAGGAGGATGAGGAACAGGAGACCACAGTGTTCCAGCTGAGAGATGAGGAGGAGGAAGATGAGTCAGATGTTAAACAGGAAGTTTCTCACGACTCCTCCTGTCCTCCGGAGCAGAGACGCTCAGAGGAGGACGTCTCTGATGCTCGGTCTGTGTCCTCCTCCAGCTCCAGCTCCAGGTCCCCTGACAGTCCTCCTTTCTCCTCTCAAACTGAGACCTTTAATGGTTCCTCCAGGCCCACAGCAGAACCACCCTCTGCTCCGAAACACGTCTCCTGTCAGGATGAAGATCACCGCTTCGACTCTTCAGAGGAGGAGGAGGAGGTCTGCGGAGACGGAGAGGAGGAGAGCTCCTTCCTGGAGGATGTGCTGAGCTCCTTAAAGGCTCCTCTTTATGCTCCCTCACCTGACGTGGAGACTGAGGGTGGTGTTCTGGAGGAGGAGGAAGAGGAGGAGCCTGGTCATCATCAGACTGAGGGAGAGGAGGAGGAGGAGGAGGAGGAGGAGCCTGGTGATTATCAGATGGAAGAGGAGGTGAAGGAGGAGGAGGAAGGAGATGAGGTGAAGATGAATGAGGAGGAAGATGAGGTGGAGGTGAAAGAGGAGGTGAATGCGCCTGATGATCATCTGACTGAAGAGGAGGATGAGGAAGAAGATGCTGCAGGTGAAGAGGAGGTGAAAGTCAGTGAGGATGAAGATCTGACTGTGGAGCATCCTCCTCCTCCTCACAGTGTAGGTGTTTTATTATTGTTCTCATCTTAGAACTTTACACAGAAGTGAAGTATAAAATGTTCTAAAACATCAGTGTAATACTTTTAGCATTAATAATATTATTATCATTATTATTATTATTATTATTATTATTATTATTATTATTATTATTATTATTATTATTATTGATGATGATGTTATCATCATCACTGTTTTTTTCTGNGGACCTGTCTCACCATCTACTCTTGGACCTGTCTCACCTTCTACTCCTGTCTCTGGACCTGTCTCACCTTCTACTCCTGTCTCTGGACCTGTCTCGCCGTCTACTCCTGGACCTGTCCTTCCGTCTACTCCTGTCTCTGGGCCTGTCTCGTCGTCTTCTCCTATCTCAGGACCCAGTGAGGAGAAGGAAGAAGTGGACCAGGGTAAAGTCTGGGATACAGGGAGTCCATCAATGAAACCAGTTCAGACCTCAGCTGCTGTGAGGACAACAGGTGAGGACACTGAACGTCTCAGGACGAGTTAAGGAAGGAAATGTTAGACTCATTGGTTTAAATGGTCTCAAAGCTGGACATTTACACAAGCACCACTGTAAAGTAGTTATAAAATGTTTACAATATTGACGTGGTTTAAAAAGGGGTATTATTATTATTATTATTATTATTATTATTATTATTATTATTATTATTATTATTATTGATGATGATGTTATCATCATCACTGTTTTTTTCTGATCAACTACCAACACTTCAGAGACAAACATCTGGTCCTTTCATCTTAGTCTGAAACCGTCTCTTGTTGAAATATGACAGAGTTCCAGTTGTTTGGGTCTAATCCTGAGACCATACAGGATCTGTCAGCCCTCAGTCTGTGTTGTGAACGACTGTCAGCTACTACCACCCCAAACTTCAGCTCAGTGTCTGTGAAGTTCACTGAGTTGTGTTTCACTAAGGTCAGCTCACTCTGAGGGTTACAACCCAAGACCAAAACTTCTGGGGCAGAGACCGGGTCAAGACCAAGACCAGTGCCCCCCACACTGCGGGACACGATGAAATGTGAATTATTCTTCTGAGATTGATCTGAAAGATCCTCATTCCCATAAAACACCTCCAACACTCAGAGCTGAAATAAGCTGAACCATCTTTATCCTGGGTGCCTGTGGCCTCACAAAGCTACCTATTAATCTAGTCACTTCTCATAGAAGTTGAGATGCATCACTCAGTCTCCACTTTCTGGTCACATCTCTAGGTTCACACAAAGCTTTAATGTTGGAGCTGTCTGCAGCTGGCTTTAGCTAAGGTCACTGTAACCTAATGTTAGCTACACAGCTTTATGTGACCTGTCATCCTTTATGATAAGCAAAAATTAGGTTTATGAACAGGTTTTCACTACATGTCCTGTCCCCTCAGTCTCTTAAAGTTACCATTATAGTTTGTGTGTGTTGTGGGGGTGTTGTTTCTGGTGACATTTGTGGGCAATTTTAAGACAAAATGCCTACCTTTGGGGACAACTGGTGCATTTGGGGACCTAAGTTGAGTTCCCATTTGGTTTAAATGCCATTGGTGGGTTGGGGGTTGGGTTTAGGACCAAGGTGTGAATTGAGTTTAGGTTAGTTTTAGGGTCAGGTACTGCAAGGTACCTGTGAGGTTAGTTTTAGGGTCAGGTAGGTACCTGTGAGGTTAGTTTTAGGGTTTGTGGTCAGGTTTAGGCTGTAGAAATGTAATGGAAGTCAATGGAATGTCCCCAAATGGATAGCTGGGCAAACTTGTGTGTGAGGGTGTTTGTGTGTGTTTGTGTGTGTGTATGGGTATTTCGTTGCATATGAGGACCATTTTAAGACAAAACACCTACATGTGGGGACCAGTGTTATTTATGGGGACCTAAGTGGAGTTCTCATTTGTTTAAATGCCATTGGTGAGATGGGGGTTTGGATTTAGGACCAAGGTATGAATAGAGGGTCAGGGTTAGGCTATAGATATTTAATGGAAGTCAATGTAATGTTCCCATGTGTATAGGTGGACACGTTGGTGTGTGTGTGTGTGGGGGGGGGGGGGGTTGTTTCTGGTGATTTTTGGGGGCAATTTTAAGACAAAATGCTTACATTTGGGGACAACTGGTGCATTTGGGGACAAAAGTCAAGTCCCCATTTGGTTTAAATGCCATTGGTGGATTGGGGGTTCTGTTTAGGACCAAGGTGTGAATTGAGTTTAGGTTAGTTTTAGGGTCAGGTAGGTACCTGTGAGGTTAGCCTTAGGGTTTGTGGTCAGGGTTAGGCTGTAGAAATGTAATGGAAGTCAATGGAATGTCCCCAAATGGATAACTGGGCAAACGTGTGTGTGTGTATTTATATATAGGCCATGTGCTTTGTTAATTCACTCTGCAATTTTGTTTTGTTAAAGGGGAAAGAAACTAAGGGAATGCACCAAGCTATGACCTTTTTACAAATTATTTTATTAGGGGTCCAGGCCCACGGAAGCAGGGTAATGCAGCTGCAAAGCAGCAGCGTTTCCATGTGTCCAGTGGAGCATGGAACCCTATTGTATCTGTTCCGTTTTTTATTATTTATTATTATTATTATTATTTTTCTTCTGTTGGTAAAACTCATACTGAAGCCTAAACCGAAGGGGCTACAACAACGATTTTAGCAAGGTAGTTAAACAGGGTCACAAGTACGGAGAAGAAAAATAATCAGACATGTCAACCTATAGGGGGCGCCRTAATCAAGGTCTTTGCATTTGGTCCTCTAGCTTCTAAACCATAAGTCACAAAATTTTTTGGCTTATAGTAGCTTAATCCCTGGACACCAATGAGTCACAAGGAATAGGCCACGCCCATTTCCGTCTAGACTTTTTTTTCTACAGCGCAAAATTTGCAAAAACTACTTTTGGCTTTGTTTTTAAAGATTTAAAGTCAGATCGCCATGAAACTCACCATCATATATCTAGTTATTATTATTTTTTATTATTATTTTATATTATTATTTTCAGCTTTCCAGTGGAAAACGATACAGGAGGTACTGCTGTGAGATTTGTTAGTTGGAACGTTAAATGCTTAAATGGACCAGTAAAAAGAGCTAGACTATTCAACCATATTTAAGATGTGATGTTGCATTTCTTCAGGAAACCCACTATGGTTAAAGATCAAGTCAGACTTAAAAAAAGGTTGTGTGGGCCATGTGTTTCATTCCAATCTTAATTCCAGAACATGTGGTACTGCCTTTTTGATACTTCAAAACATTCAATTCAACCCAACATCAATAACTTAGTAATGGTTTCCAGGTTTCTTTTTTGTATCATCTTGATTATTATTTATGCCCCAAATTGAGATGATAAAAAATTCATTAAAAATGATTTTATCAATCCCAGACTTGAACTCACAGCAGTTAATTTTTGGAGGAGATCTAAATTGTGTAATTAACCTAGCCTGGCCCTTGCCTTCCTACGCAGCTCCGCTCAATTCTAGTTTCCCTTCACTGCTCCGTCTGGGACTTCTCCCAAAGACAAGGATTCCGTTGGCAGATTTTTAGCCGGGCCAATCAGAGAAGAGAACATCTATTTTCTGTGCAGTGTCTGCTTGTAGTTTATTTTACCTGGGCCAATCAGCAAACAGAAGGCGGAGTTTTGAACGACGTTGATTTTCTGCGCAGTGTCTGCTAGTTTAGCATACGGCAGTGGAGGAAGTGAATGAAGCCAGTCTGTGTTGATAAGGCTTCAAATTAAATTAAATTTGTCTGACAATGCAGCAGCTCTCATTTACAGCCGTCTCGTTCGGCTCGGTACTTTTCTCCTCTCAGTAGGGTTGTTTACAGCACACGCGATTTCTGGTTAGCTTCTTAGCTTAATTTAGCTTAGCCTCCTTCTCAGCGACACACACACTTCAACAGAGGCCACTCCTCCAGCAAGAATTGCTTCTTTATTGCAGCGAGTCCAGACCCTCGTATGAAGCAAAGTGAAGGACAAGGGTCTGGTTTTTACCAGGCTATAATTAACCCTAAAATGGATTGTTCCAATCCTATATCCACAAATATGTCAACAATGGTTGGATTACTGTCAGATTGTCTGAACTGTACAGGGAGTGTTGACGCCTGGTGTTATTTATTCCCTCAGAGCAGGGATTTCTCCTTCTTTTCCCCATTTCATCATAGCAGAATAGATCTTCATTGAGAGCTCTCTTCTTCCCTAAGGCTGAGTACTTAAATATAATCAAATCAGACCATGCCCCTGTTCTGCTAAATATTACATTTCCTCTTTAAAAAACAGAACACCCCGCTTGAAAATGGGATCAAAATGTATGACAAAACATGAGTTTATTCTACTCAAATTTATATAAATCAGAAACAATAGGTCAGTATCAACATGGAACACTTTTTGGACAATTTGAAGACCCCGCTATTAAAACACATAGGATAGTAACTGAACTACCATTAAAAGCAATGATGGTGGTGCAAAATGGCTGATGGACTGATGCACTGATGGACATCTGTGCTAACCACTGAGCTGTCATGCCCTGGATGCAGAGAACGATTTGTTAGGATAGAGTAGATATATTTATTTGCATGCTCATAGACTAGACTTTTGTGCATCTCTCTTAAAACCTTCATAATTTCAAATGAAAAGAAATCAAAGTATTTACAGTTTTTGTGAGAAACCAGACAAGGATACCCAATATCAGCCCATTGCTTTTCACCCTGGCCTTATCTGTTAGACTTAAATCATTCACATCAGTAAGTGAAATTTGTTGACGAGAGAGCACAGAGTATCTTTATGTGCAGATGACTTGTTGTTGTACCTGTCTGACCCTATCTCAAACGTGCCCCACATTGTCCATGCTCTGAAGAATTTCTGTACATTCTCTGGGCACAAACTCAACCTAAAGGCCCTGTCACACTGTGATGTTTTAGACAACTTATGTGATCTTATGAAAATTTTAAAGACATCTACGTTGAAGATGGAATTGAAAAAAATCACCTGCAAGCTTCTTTTAGGCATGTACATTGTAAGGTGGTGGTGTGTGTGTGCATTGTAATTGTAACAAATTGATCAAATATACAACTTTTATTAGCAATTTCATAAGTTGGCATAAGTTAGTTTTTATTTTGTTTCCTCAACTATATTTGTCCATGTAAAACATTGTAATTAGTGCAGGGTGGGTCGAGGGAGGGGGTCTGAGTGTGTTTTACTTATAAATGTGAATACATGAGCATTATTCTAAAGAAAGCCTTTTGACCTGTATCTGTTGGTGCACAATGAAAAGATGGAAAAAATGTATATTAATAAATTTCACAAAAAGGAGCAGTTAACTTTTATCTGTTTTAAATAAAGCTGAATGGAGGCTAGAAAATGACCTTTTCACTGTTGTTTCTGAAAAAAAGAATAATTCTCCTCTTATTCTTCATCATTTTTCAGGAGAAAGAGGAGGAAGACAAGTCTGAGGAAGAAGTTGTCATAGTTACAAGACAATCCCTTAGCCAGGAGGTTGGAATGAGTGAGGAAGAGGAGGAGGAGGAAGAAGCTGAGGGAGACAGAGAGGTGGAGGAGGAGATGTTGAAGAGTGAGGAAGAGCATGATGATGATGAAGAGGCAGAAGTTGAGGTAAATGAAGTGAGAGAAGAGGAGGCAGAAGATGAGGAGGAGATGATGGAGATGATTCCGGATTCCCAGGAAGAGGAGGTTCACAGAGTCTCACCTGTTCAGGAGACAGATGAAGGAGTAATGGGAGGGGATCATGATGATGATGATGATGATGATGATGATGATGTCCAAAACACAAACCAGACAAAAGAGGAAGATGTCACAGAAATGGGAGCTCAGGTTCTGACACAAGTGCAGGAAGGACATGAAAATTCCAGTCTGAACTCTAAAGATGAAGAGGAGGGTGATGAAGAAGAGGATGGAGAAGTCCTCGCACAAAAGTCAGAGGAAGAGGAAGAACCAAGCCAAAGTGGTGAAACCATGTCTCATCTGGACAAGATTCCAAATGACTCATCTTCAGAATCCAGATCTCCAAAGTCCTGTCCCATCACTGATCCAGATCTGGTTCTGCTCAGTCCTTCCAGTAGAACCACCACCTTACAGATAGATCTGGTCTCTCCCAGTTCAGAGACACCCCCATCTTTGTCCCACCCGCCTCCTGCAGATCCCAGTGCAGGTGTCTCAGAGTCTCCTGGAGGACAGTCCCCTGCAGAGGAAGAGTCAACCGAGGCTATGAAAGATGAAGAATTGGAAGAGCCCAAACAGGAGCCAGGTGGTTCTCCTCCTGCCCCTGTTCCCCGGCCAGCAGATCAGAGTAAAGTCCGCTTCACCATCGCCCCCGCCTGGCAGAGGTCCCAGTGTTCCGCTGGACCTGTCTCATCGTCTACACCTGTCTCTGGACCTGTCTCACCATCTACTCCTGTCTCTGGACCTGTCTCACCATCTACTCCTGGACCTGTCCTTCCGTCTATTCCTGCCTCTGGACCTGTCTCACCTTCTACTCCTGTCTCTGGACCTGTCTCACCTTCTACTCCTGTCTCTGGACCTGTCTCACCGTCTACTCCTGGACCTGTCTCACCATCTACTCTTGGACCTGTCTCACCTTCTACTCCTGTCTCTGGACCTGTCTCACCTTCTACTCCTGTCTCTGGACCTGTCTC